GAGCGCTGCGGGTCTGCCTACGCTGCAGGGGCTCCTCCTGCGCAGCAGGGCAGGGCGCCTGCTGGCCAGGCAGTCCCGTCGCACCGGAGAGCGCAGCGGGTCAGGCTGCAGGGGCTCCTCCTGCGCAGCAGGGCGCCTGCTGGCCAGGCAGTCCCGTCGCACCGGGGAGCGCAGCGGGTCTGCCTACGCTGCAGGGGCTCCTCCCGGGCAGTGGCAGTCATGACGGCGGCCCGACGGCGCGTGGAATTGAAACATGTGCGCCCCGGGAGTGCCGGCTGGACGGACACGGAGTGCGAGCGGCGGGAGGAGCGGTGTCCGGTGAAAAAAAAAAGAGGGGAAATAAAAAGAAAATTGCGGATAGGGGGAAGAGAAGTTTCACAAAAGGGGGCCACATGGAGGGCAGGATGAACACCCGCTGCTTTGGTGGGCGGGTCGGCTCGACGAGAGTGGAGACCGCCTCTCCGTCCACAGCAAACATTTAACTGGAAAGTTCCTGGTTTCGTCTGAAAAAGCTTCTGTTGAGTCAGATAGACGCACGTAATTTCGCAATTTTACCATTTTGAACGGCACAAAGATTTCTTTCCCTGACTTTTCCATGACTCACATGGTATTGAATTTCTCCCAGACTTTCACATTCCTTTGGGTTTCCCATGACTTGTAACAATCGTCACGACATTCTAGACGAAATTTGAAGAATTTCTGACTTCCCACAACTACAGGGCTCGTCTAGATCTTAATTAAAAGGCAACACCTCATATTTGTGCGCCCCCAGGTATAAACGCCCAACAGGTTCGATTTAAAAACCTGAAAGTTCTCGACATGCGCATGCGCAGGACGAATCAGGAACTTTACGTAAAACTGTTTGCTGTGTCTGTACCGGGGGCGCGCTGTTTACCTCTTTTGCGCACAACACACAGAAGCAGACGCTGCGCCACAGCCGGTGTGCGCTTACAGAAGCACAGAGTAGAGCAAGTAGTAGACTCGGAACAAAAAGTGCGCGAAAGAAAAGGCTGCAAGCTGCAACAACAGGGAGGGCAGGTCAGTCATGAAACTGAATAGACTGAAGAGTAGATGAAGACTTCGATTTTCCAACAAGACTCCGCCATCCTCGCTACTGCCTCTGAGTGTCTACAAAAGAGAGAGGGGCAGGGGGAGGTGGGAGGTGGGGGTGGATGTGCTGGGAAGCACTATTCAAGTGAGAGAGTGAGAGAGAGAGTGAGAGAGAGAGAGAGAGAGAGCGCTGGGGTCATTATCCGAGGGGCCAGACACTAGCTAGCTGCCGCCCGCAACGCCCCGCAAGGCTCAGCCACTCCAAAGCCCTCCTCAGTAGCAGCAGTGCCTGTGTTCGGCTGGATGAGAGACGCAGCCGGCCCGGGCTCTCTCCCTCCAACCCACTCAAATCCGCGCACTTATTCACGCTCGCTTTTCGCCCTTTCGCACGCACACGTGACAGAACCGCTTGCTCCGCAAAAGGCTTTTATGGCGCACTTTGCGAGTGGTTTAAAATGTATATGTACACACACACACACACACACACACATCATACCACCTTTCCGAAAAACTCCCCACACGTGCGCAAGGAAACAAAACAAAACTTCAATGCCCAAAATTCAAACAAACTCTCATTACTTAAATGAAGGCTCGAAACGAGATCAAACTTTCGTCCTCTTTCCCGCGCTCTCCTGGTTGGTCAGATTTTAAATAAAAAGACTCATAAAAAGTATACAGTCGACGTTATTCGCTTTTTATTATTGAGAAGCATGTGACTTCTGGCCTGGAGAGTGGAGAGGCTGTTCTGTTCGGTTTTGTGATAAAACAAGGCTATTTGCTCAGCAGTAACGTGTGCTCCGTACGACTGCTCGCCCTCTTTTTCTGTCTCTCCGATCCCATTCTCAGTCTCAGTCGAGCCCGCTCCCCGCCTACTCCCCCTTCCTTCCCTTACACGCACGCACGCATGCCCGTTCGCTCCCTCTCTCTCCCCAGGCGAGCGGATCTACTCCAAGTTGATTTGATTTCATTTCATTCCCAGGAGCTGCCAGCCCCTTCTCGGTGAGGTTGCATTCGGAACCGTCTCCTGTCCCCGTCGCTCCCGCACGGACAGACCAACGTGTACAAGTGAGACAGACTTACAGACGTTCGACTCCCAAAACCACGTGATGAATGATGTGGCTGAGGGGGTGCGGCGTGGCGGGGTGGGGGCGCGGCGGGGCGGGCGGCGGGGAGGGATTTAAGCAGAGCCAGCCAGAACCACACCATTTGAGCCCAGTATCAGGACGAGAGTGGCGCTGCAGCGTCCGACGAGCTTCCCCCGCCCCGTTCTCCTCTTTCTCCTCCCCACCCTGATGCTAGCTCCTTTCCCACACAATAAGAGCTGTCCCCGCCACATACCTCATTGTGCTTCTCTGTGTACTCGGAAAAATAAATCTTTGTCAAAGATGAAACAGAGGACTGGTCAACTATGAATCATCTGTAGCAGACTAAACTCAAAAATCTTAGAAGTGTATTTTTAGCCGTGCACCGGACGGCCAGCATGGCGTCTCCTAAGCAGATGCATCCTGTCAAGGACTCCGTTAGCGCACGCACTGGGAGGAGGGGGTGGGGGGCACTAACGACTGCGTCGCCCTTTGCGCACACTAAAAATGCAGTGGGATTAATTGTTGCAAACATTACACATGACATGACTCATGGCTTCTAAGAAAAGACTTTCGGCTACAGCGATAAATAATAAACGTTAACTTAGCAAACACAAAAGAATGTTTTCCACCTCAACCTAAAGGAGTCGCTCCGGCCCGCTCCCACCCATACCCACCCCCCTTTATCTCCTTTTCTTTGCCAATCTACCAGCATAATATTTGACTCCCCATGTCACAAGGCGGCATTCCCCGGCAGAGTTTGAACAGGACGGATCGACCAGCTATTTGTTTACACTCTCCCCCGTTACTTCCCCCCGGCCAGTCTGACTTTTATTAGAGAACTGGCAGCATTTCAAACGAATCCCCTCCCCTGCCGACTTTTTTCTTCTTCCTTTCCCCCTCCTTCTTGTCCTCTCTTTTCGTCGTGTCTCTTCCCTTCACAGCGCCACGGCCCATCGGGAGGAGGCGCGTGGCGGCGCGTGGCGGCGCGGTGTTCAAGGAAAACAAGAAAAAACAGCGCATTAAAAGAGCTACATTTTACATGTTTCTCCCGAGGGGGCAGAGGAGTGGAAGTGGGGTAACTGAGGCCAAGATGATGATGACTAGCGCATGCGTATGAGAGAGAGAGAAAGAGAGAGGGAATGTGTTCTGTGAGTGTGTCATCCACCCTCATCAGGAGGGCATACGTCCTACACTCTAATCAAGACATCCCTCGCACGAGGCATATATAAATTCAGAGCATGAAAGAAGAAATAAATAATTTATGAATTACTTCTGTTCAGTATTTGTAAGGTTCTAGGTAAGGTATCATCTGCTCAAAAAAGGCTGCTGGGGGGAAATTCGACTATCGCCCCACTGAAACAAACGGAATAGTAATAAACTGACAACACTATTATAACTGATAAATAACTCTCCATCAACTCCCAAATTTGCTGTGCTGCCGTAACAGGTAGAAAACAGGTAGTAGAAATGGACAGCCTGCTGCAGGTCTGAACGAGTATCGGAACCCGGCGGCCCGTGAAGTTTGTGCCTGCTTGAAATATGACCTCGAGCAGAGACAGACGGACGGACAGACGTTACGCTAGATAGCCAGCCAATGCCTGGCCGACGCCCCCAAACGCCCACAAACTGAATGTGACAGCCGAACTGCGCCGCTGCTGCTGCTCGACCCTGGAGGCACCACGGCAGTAAAATGACACACTTAGAGGCACCACGGCACGGGAAGGAGGCCATTTTTCGAATTTGCCCCCCCCCCCCTCTCCTCCTACTCCCCCTGCCACCTCTTACTTCACGGGGCAGCGGAGCGCTCCAGGGTCAACGCGACAAAAAAGCAGGCGATTTCGAGCTAATTTGTAGTAACTGAACCGAACACATTTAAGCACGGTACACATACATGAGAGCACACATGTAAAAACGTGTATCTAAATCACAAATGCGTGTGGCATATTTCATTTTGAGCATAATGACCGCACTTTATAAAACTATACCAGTCTTGTTCGAGGAGACAACCACTCAAGCCCTAGTGCACTGCACATATCTCGGTTTAAAAGATGTGAAGCATGACTATGTGTAAACTGTAGCCGCCGAACTGGAGTTATAAACTACGAACTGAATCATTTAATTTACGGAAATATTGATAACGATTTACTTTTGGTGTTTCACAATTATCTGGAAACCGAATTTTATCATATTGTATGCCGAAATGTCTGCACCCATGCATTAATGCTCGAGTTAATGCCTTTTTCTTTTCTTTTAAACGGATAACATGCCAAGAATACTGATAAATCAGTCAGTTTTGAGAGTGATCTCCGCGATCATTTTCACGGTATTCCGGACGGTGTACTGTATACACACGAGTTCCAGCGTGGCTTTATCACGGTAAAAACAAAACAAACTTTGTCACCGTGATCCTACTCTGCTCGATTGGCTTTAGTCGCTATCGAAATCCGATACAAGAAAGTGGTCGATACGATAAAAAGTTGGTTGTCACAATAAGACACTTGACACTTATTGTATAAAAACAACAATCTACAACCCCTTGCTGTCATCGTCCAATTATCTAATTGTCGCAACAAACTTCTGCTTTTCAAATCGGGTTATCGATTTCACCATTTCGATTCAATCCTGTCGAACAGAGTTTGATCAATCAAAACAAAGATTTTCGTTTTTTTCGTGCACCCACGACCTTGCACATAGGTAAAGCCAACAACTCTTAGTATATTTAGTAATGAAGTACGTAGTTTTCTCTAGTGCAATTTTACAAGTAAAGTTCAGAACACTTCATTCACGATTTGACAACAATTTAAACGAAAGTTGACCGCCCAATATGTTCTGGCGTGTGAAACTCGAACTATTGAAGCCACTCACTAAGCCTGCACTCGTCACATCACTTCACGCACTACACGCGGGTCACTCTCACTACTAGTCACTCGCTTCGCGACGCGCGCTTCCAGAGGGACTCTCGCGGCGGGCGCAGCGCGTTACACAGCGTTACACGCGAGGGGCCCCGGGCCTGCCAGGCGTGTTACTTAGACTGCGGCCGCCGTCGGGGCCCCTCGCCCAGGCCGGCCGGCCGCGACTCGCCCCGCCGCACCCCGCCCCGCCCCGCCACACCACGCGCCACGTGCGGCAGTCTCATGCCCCATGCGGGGTCCCTATGCGCTTTGAGAGTAGGGGGAGGAGGGAGGAGGGGACGCCGGGCTCAACAGACCACACGCACACGCACACACACATGCACACGCACACACACAGATGCTGACGGACGACGCCCTCGCCGCCGGGAGGAGGAGGAGGGGAGCGTACGGCATACATACACAGTGCGCGCACACATTACAGTAGCCTGGACCCCCCCTCGTCTGCTCCTCACACTTCTCTCCTCCGCCGCCGCCCTCTTCTAAAGGAAGCAGCCACACTCTTGTCACTTTGCCTGCATAGCATAGCGACGCCGCCGGCGGAAGAAAGGACTTTAGGAGGAATACTATTGTAGGAAAGGGTGCAGTTGCAGCAGCCCTATACCGTAAAGGTACGAGAGACGGCACAGAGGAGATGCATGTAGTCATCGTTAAAAACGACATCGTACTCATAATCTACAGTTTTAGACTGTAATTTAGTGTCACCAACCTATAATTTACAAAAAGATAATTTTAGTTTTAAAGTATGTCGTAAAACTGACAGTTTCAAACTGTTCAATTGTAGATTTTATTTTACATCGTGTAAGGGTAGGAAAGGTTCAGAGATCGAAGGAAGGCTTAACCTTTCCCCTTCCTCTCCTCTACGTCCCTCTGCCCCCCGTCCTAAAGGGACCATAACGACACGAATCGAAACAAATGACTGTCCCAATCAGGGCAGACGTTTAGGGCGTGGCGCGGAGGGGCGGGGCCCGGGCGGCAGGCAGGACGCAGGACGAGGCGAAGGAGCAGGCGCAGGGCACAAGGGCACAGCCACGCCCGCGTCGTTAGCGTCACTCGCGGATTTACTTTTTATTATTTTCACAGATTTTGCTCAGCGCCCCCTAAAGTGTTTGGTGCGTTCCTCCTTAATTCCAGATCAGGGCGGCGGCACGCGCGCCTCAAAGGGAGTGGGCTGATTAACAATCGACGGCTCTGGCGGGCCTGCCTGGCGCGCCGCCAAACCACCCAACAAATAAAGCCGTTCCAAAAGGCTTCCGAATCGCACAGCACGACGACCACCGACCGTTTGTTTTGCTTCATATTTTATTTCTTCCCCAAAGACGCAACACGGCAAGCGAAGCGAGCGGCCCCGACGGGCGGCGCCTCGCAGCCCTGCAGCCGCGCCACTGCAGGCGCCGTGCGATTTGATGAGTTGTGCGTGGGAGTGGCGGGGCGCGGTGGGGCGCGGCGGGGCGCGGCGGGGCGTGGCGGGGCGGGGTGGCGGCTGTGTACCTGTCGCGTCTTTTCTATTTCCGGCCGCTAGGCTTGACGGCGCGCTGGCATGGCGCCGACGCGGTCGGTACAATGGCGAGCATGAGTTTACTCAACGACAGTCCTCTTCCTCCCAAAAGTGCAACAACTTTTCACTAGAAATCATCCTGGAGCGAAATTTTCTCGCTATCCTAAAATCGATGTTTGATTTTCTGGCTCTGGCTCGACTAGAGCCGATTAGAGCGGTGATTTGAAGAAATCCCACTCTATCTGAGTGATGATTAGGAAACCTTGCTGTTTATGAGTTAGGAGTCTTCAATGTTAATTTGAGTGAGATTTAAGAGTCTGACTAAATAACAGCGCGGTTTTATATTATCACTTAAATGGAACAAGAAGAAAAATCTCGCTCTCTTCAGGTGAGATATCTAGACTCTTCTATATTTGCGATGTTCGTAGCAGACGATGCATTTAAAACATTTGACACAAAAACCAACAACGCAGATGACATGTTTCGAGCATTATCCATAAGTAAAGACGAACTACCTCTGCACTTGGCGCTCTATTTCTTCGACAGAATTTTTGCTACTACGGTGCACGATGATGCGCCTCGCGATGCAGACGTAGGATAAGGCGGCTGGACAG